ATTGCCAGAAGACAGTTGGGTCGCGGAACTGGAAGATGACGAATACGAAGTGGAGAAGATTCTAGACAGACGTATGGGAAGGAAAACTCGGTACGGACGTATCCAGTGTGAATACCTGGTACAATGGAAAGGATATCCTGACCCGTCATGGGTGGATGAGGTGGACCTCAACTGCGGGGGATTGCTTAGGGACTATGAGCGCAGGCAGGCTACTCGATACCGATTCGAGGCAATGCAGAGTCATGAAGAGTAGTGGGGAGAGCTCATCTTGGGAAGGCCAAGATGATGCAAGAAGGAGGCGGTATTTGTCATACATTTACAAGGGGGTCAAATTATTATATTCGAGAGTGCGACAGCACGAAAGAGATTGCGAGGTATTGTGAGAGGCCCAGAGTACCAGGGCACCGGGGTACCGGGGCCCAGGGGCCCAGAGGTACAGGGGCCCAGGGACCCAGGGTACCTGGGCCCAGGGGTCAGGGGCCCAGGGGACAGGGACCCAGGGGTGCTGGGCCCAGGGGTACAAGGGTACAGGGGCCCAGGGCATAGGCCCAAAGAAAAGGAACATGAAGTTACGGAAAAAGCGTTGGAGCAGAAAGCTAGCTGACTTAACATTTAATGCATCGGTGTCCAAACGAAATTTGCCGGAGAGACGAGGGACCTGGAAGGCGGGGTGTTCCTAAATGTTCTTGCGATAGAACACGCGCCAGGGGGAAGTGTCGTCTGCGGTCTGCAAAGCCCTCAACAAGTCCAGCTGAGGATCCTCCGTGGTGACGACTGGGTACCAGACGGTCAGCTGACGGGTCGAGATCATGGGCTGGAAGTAGGGGTCAAGAAGAATGTCGAGGTCACAGTGACCGGCCTTCATCCCTTCCAGGACCTTCTCAAGTACGTCCATCCAAGCCCTCACCGCCTTGGCCCGCCGTTTCTTCCTCGCATTGGACAGCCGAAAGGCGTATCGGCTCTTTGTACGGAGTTCGGAGAAAAGAGGAAGTCGGTGTCGGTCTTCCCATAGACTCTGGCGTGACGCATCGACGTACGTATCATGGAGCTTCACGAGGTCGCTGAACCAGCCGGACACTGGAAAAGAAATAGGGGTTACAGTCATGACCCCCTGGGCCCAAGGACATGAGTCCATCAGAAGCTGAAGTTGAGAGTCCTTCATGAGGCCTTCGCTCCAGATTGGGGGGGCTTCGGGTCTTCTGGTCTTCAGAAGCACCCACCCAAGACAGTGGAAGCGATACCTTGGATCAAAGGTCCTCTGGCGTCAGCTGGGTGATAACGAGGGCCCCTACCTGGGAAATCGACCAGGGGGCAACGTCTTCCGCGGCGAACGTGCTGGGCGTCGCATAACCAGGAAGGGAAGAGCCGTGGATGTTACGGTCGCGGAAATTATCATGGTTGGGACCCTGGCTGGCAGGACCCTCAGGTGTTGGTGCAGGATCCTCGCTGCTGGGACCCCTGCCACCGGGACCCTCAGATGTGGGTGCAGGATCCTCGCTGCTGGAACCCTTGGAGGGTGGTGCTGGAACCTTGCCGCTGGAACCCTTGGATGGTGGTGCGGGACTCTTGCGGCTGGAACCCCTGGAGGATGGTGCTGGATCCTTACCGCTGGAGCCCTTGGGTGGTGGTGCGGGCCCCTTGCCGCTGGAGCCCTTGGAGGGTGGTGCGGGCCCCTTGCCGCGGGAACCCTTGGGTGGTACTGTACCCTTGCCGCTTGAACCTTTGGTTGGTACTGCTGGACCCTTGCCGGCGGGGCCCTTGCGGCGGGAACTTTTGGCTGGTGGCTTACGCTTAGCATGGTTAGACTCGTCACTCTCAGTTTCGGAGTCTGGTCCAAACATTTCCAAGAACTCGTCGGAGTACGTCATTCAAGCCTTCTTGTTCCTTGACGCCCGAGACGCTGCGTGGGAAGTGCGAGGGGATGGAGACCTCGAAGGTGGAGCGCGAACCTTGGACTTGGCCTTATTCGATAGGTCTATGACCTCGGGGCCGACCTCTGAAGTAGAGGGTACAAGGCCGGAGCGACAACTGGAAGACCGCGACCTGGCCATTGCGGCGAGCAACGAGTCGTCACTACTGCTATCCTCGTCCTCAGATGACCCCGGGTCATGATTGGCTTTCCACTTCTCCGGCTTAAGGGGCGACCGAACCTTGGATGAAGGCGAACGTGACCTTTTCGTCGTTCTGGGACTTCGGGCTTGGGTCGTGGATGGAGTCGATTTTGCTGCCGTGCCTCGAGCAAACCGTTAGCTGCTTCTGCAGCTGGTCACGTTCCCGGAGGAGGGTCTTCACGCGGCTCTTGTAGTTGGGAACCTCCTTCTGGAGTACCAACACTTGTTTAAACAGTTCTTGAGGACTGCGAAGTGCGTCCAACCTGGACTCCAGCGACCGATCTCAGCCGAAGAATTTTCGACAGCCTCGTTGTAATGGTCCTTCCAGTACTTGATCTGGGTCGGGATTCTTCCACTTGCCGAGAATTGTCCACCCGTTGGGCGAGTGCATCCCGGTACTCGGCGATGGCCAGCTGGTCCACTTCATGCTCGTGGACCAGATTCCGGACCCAAGACTGTATCCGAGGCGCATGGGTCACCTCGAATTCCGTGAGGTCGTCTACGCGACGCTGTAATTCCGCGGTCCGGCGATGTTCTATCTGGTACCCCCGTTGGAGGACCCTGTGGTACTCAGCGAGGGTCTCCATGGACTGGGCCCCCGTTCCACCGTGACACGTAAAACTTCCCAAGCTTGAGAGACCTCCAAATAATTGGTGGGCTCCCCAATAAGGTCCACGGTCGGGGTGACCTCGTCAGGGTCAGGTCTAGGAGGTGCGTAAAAAGACCAACGGTCCGGTGCTTGGGACCCGGTGGAAAGATTACGAGAAGTCACTAACGGATACAAGACTTGTGAGTTGGCGAACGCAGCCCCCCAAACGACGAAGGATCACTTACTGTTAGTTCGAAGAGTTTGGACAAGGGTGCACGTGGTCTTCCCGCAGTTCGAAAGACCAGCGCGCAGGGAACAGCTGTGGTCAAGTGCCAGGGAAAGTTGGAGTTTGAAGGAAATGGAACAAAGAGAAATGAGAATTTCTGGTCACTTCCCCGAGGGAGTGACCACGACCCGGCCTCGCGGATTTACAACCACACACCAGGCCTCCGCCTTATTAAGAATATTAGAACCCAGACGTGCGGAGTCAGCACAGGCCCCAGGTCCCGGAAACAGGTTCCAGAGGCCCAGGGGTACAGGGGCCCAGGGGTACAGGGGCCCAGGGACCCAGGGGCCCAGGGGCGCAATGTCCGAGGGTGCAGAATCGGTACACAGAATATCGAAGATTACAGAAAGTACAGGTAACAAGGAGCCAGTTCTTCTTCCAAGAGTCGACACGGGGCACTATCTAGATCAAAGGGTTAAGGTTAGGCAAGAAAAGCATACAGAGAATAAGGTAAATAAACACACTCGAATTTGCATTACACGTGGCAGCTTTACGCGCCCCTTTTAAGCTTCTCCGTCGCTTCACCTCTTCCGGGCGGGATACCCTTTGGCCCCCCGACGTCAACAGGTGTTAGACGGCTCAAGCTACGCAAGCTGAACCTCAGGATAGTTGGCCTGAGGTGTAAAGTGTCAAGACTCTACGGCCCGCTACAGGAAGCGGTTTTTTCCCTACGGGGAAGAACACAAAGGGGTCCATGGACCAAGAACAGTCAGCCACCAAAGAAGTACGCAGTACCAGGTGCATCGCTCTCGACTAAAGTCGATTGATCCCAAGAAACCCGGTCCCAAGTGAAGTATATCCACTCGGGGACCACCAAGTTCAAGTCTTATACAAAGACCAAGTCTATAAGTCTTCTGCGTCAACCGAGGAGCAAGACCAGCCAAGCTGGCGGGTACACAAATTGATACCCAAGGTTGACGCGACACGGTATCGGGGTACCCCCTCCGTAAGTCGGCAGTCCGGCGCTGTGTGTGTTTGTGGTTCTCTCACGTTGTTTGAGAATCCACTCCACCACATTCGTTGCACTCTCGCTTGAGCGAGAGGCAACTGGTGGTACGACTGCTTAAGCAGTCGACCAACCTCCTAACCACCCTCGCACGCGAAGGAAAGACGGTCTAACCGCTTCCTCGCTTGTGCTGAAGGTGTGTGCTTGTAGCACGAGGCAACTTCGTAGAAGTGCCCGTCTACAGGCGACGTCCGTCTGTTTTTGTAACTATCGTTGAAAAGCTTCAAGCCGGCTGCATTCGCCCATGTTAGAGTCTGTCATCGTCAAGATCACCAACGGTGATGCTCTTTCAATTGCAAAGAATTCTGCGGTCGAGTGTGCTCGAGCTTTTACGTGTGGAAGCAAAGCGGATATGGCATTGTTTACTCTTGATCTCTTCTTTTGGCATCAGATCGTAGAAGTATTGATCAAGAAAGGGCTGTGGTCAAATCGAGTCCGAAATTGCTCTGGACTCGAACTTGAGTGTCGGTTATTTACTAATAACTCAGGATTCACAATGAATAGTGCAATGGATAGCGATAAGACTTGGTATAGATGCATCGCCGTTCGCCAATATACTAGTTAATCAGAGAATTGAAAAATGTTAATGACACCGGTACTGTAATTCATTCGAAGGTCAGCACCGATACAGACATCGGCCTATCCATGACGAGAACGTTAGCGGTGCGGCTGTTTGAATCTTGTGCACAAAGGAATTTTGAACAATATAAAAGACAATATTTCAGGAGAGAAGAATTGTTTGTCTCGAATCTTTCTGGTCTTAATGCGTTGAAATCTGGTCGCCATGGTCAGTAGAACCTGTTATATGATATATTACTTTATAGGAATTAGTATCTAACACAGATATCGTAAAAGGCCGCTCAAGCTATAGTTATGGCTCGAGAGGTTATTATTTTACGGAGGTTAAATTAGACAGGTTCTACTGTAACTAAATAAGCTGTCTATCATCCTGTGCCTCACAGCCTCCTTACTTTACATTTTGCTCCAAGCTCACCGTGCCAAGTATTAATGAAAGTTACCATGTCAAATGCAGCCCGCATTTCCTGCGCGCTGGTTTTTGTCACGCTGGCCATTTGCTTAGAATCAATCGTAGCAGACCCCAAGTCGACTTCTGGTGTCGCTTTGACTACGATGCATTCGCCTCATTCTCCGGCCGCGATCAATCGGCACTTGAGGCATACCGCGGCCATGGAGACAACTGAAGCTTTCGAAGAGAGGGCACCTACCTTGCATTTTTCAGAATTGGCTCCCAGCTTTTCCAGCCTGAAGTCAATTACTGCGGCGATTTACCAGAAAATTCAAAGTTGGGTGTGGCGGATGACGCGGAAATCCTCGGACGATGTGTTTAAGCTTTTAAAGCTCGACACAGAAGAAACAAACCTGTTTGGAGACCTACGCTTTATGAGGTGGGCCACTTTTGTCAGTTCAAGATACTCGGAAGATCCCACAGCGGCGACTGAAGCAATGTTGAAGACCTTGGTAAATCATTACGGTGAAGGTGCTGCATTGGCTAAAATTCTAGTTGCTGGGAAGAAGACCGACAGTGTGAAATCCGTCGCTGGAAATTTGTTATGGTTGCAGCTCTCAAGGTGGAGGGAAGGTAAGGAAACGGTGGGCGAGCTTTTTACGCTTTTGGAGTTGGAAAAGATTGGAAAAAAACTGTTTGAAAGCCCACTATTTTCGTTGTGGGTCACCATCGTCGAGCTTAGATACTCGGAAAATCCCAAAGCGGCAATTGAAGTAATCTTGTCGACTCTGGCAGCCCATTACGGGGAAGATGCTGCATTGGCTGATGCTCTTATTGTTGGAATTAATAATCCCAATATGACTAAATTTGCCGTTAACCTGTTAAGGATACAGCTCCAGAGGTGGTGTGACACTGAAAAAACTGTGGAGTCGGTTTTCACAGATTTGAACCTGGAATCTATTGGAGAAGGTCTGTTTGAAAGCCCACAAATGATCATGTGGCTTGGATTTGTTGGGTCGCGCTACCGAGTGGTTGATAATGAGGCTAATAAGTCGGCTAAGAAGGCTATTCATATGGCGCCTTTTGAGGCGGCTTTAACTACGTTACGTCTCCATTACGATGACGATATGTTACGGAAAATTCTAGCTAAGGGTTCGAAGATTAACGACAAGGAAATTAAGAAGATTGCTGACAAACTGGACGCGATGCTTACACGGAAGCTGACCACTGGGAGATCTTAGCAAGGTTATCACACCTTTGGAGCTTGACCAGACATGTCATTCGAAGCCCATGGTCAGCAACTGGACTATACGTGACTACGTTCAGATGAGGCAACTGGACGTGATAACAAGCTCAAGGCCGTGTAAACATTCTGCAAAATGACATAGGCGCTCCGTAGCAAACCTCTCGCCAGTACCATAGTTCGCCTCATTCCTTAATGCGTTCATTCGTTACTGATGTTGTTCTTTTTTACGAGCATGAATCTTGTTTAGAGCGTAACTCTCAGGTCATTGCGCTAGGGTCTTTGTCAGCGAAGCTTGTTCCTCCTTTGTTGTCTTTACATCGACCTTACGCACGACTATTCCATATATAGCGATCACCATCACCGCATTAGTGCCACAGCACTAAGGGAAGCAAGTGTTTGTTTTCATCTTGGACTCAACCTCCAGGTCAGCCAGCTCTTTTACCGCTTTTTTGACCAGCTTTGGGTGCAGCTATCAGTCTCTAAATATGACTTTTTTGGTACTTGCAGAGAAGTTGCCGATGAAAAAAGCTCCCTCTGACTTCTACGACTCCTAAAGTTTCCAGGTTGATTTTGACGCTATGTGTCCCTTCTTATCACAGAAGGTCGCCGATGATAGCCGGTGTCGCAAGGCCGTTGGTACAAAGTCACTGGTCCGGATTTTGTAGAAAATTACCAACATGACTGTTATCTTACCTGCAAATACTGGTGGTCTTTCAGAACTGCAGTATGTGATGATGATGCAGCCGAGGTAAACAGGTTGCTCATACGGAAGTTCTGCGCTTCCTGGTCGTTTCTTCGGCTCTAACATGAGCAAACAATCCAAATGAAGCTCTCTATACAATGACGATGAACCTTTAGTTTAATGCAACGGATGATCGATTGCTAACGTTTGCTAACGTCTGCTGCTGGTCATGCGCTCGGTCTGAATGCGATTCTGTTTTTTTACTTTGTTCACGAGAGGCCTAGGCCTAGCAAGTATTTCGTGCGCCCAAAAGTAAAGCCTTCGAGTAGTGGGCATGTATTCGATATACAGTAATGGCACAAATGAAGTACTGACTGTACTACCTGGTCAAATTAGTCATGATGTACTCTAATGATCACGTCATTTTGAATCCATAATATCGATGGGCTACCGCCCCACTGGCCTTCGGCAGTTGGTGAGCCAGCTCAATCTCTTTAGCTACATGGTCTCATGTAGGCCACCACTGTACTCTTGACGTGACGTTCGAAGAGCAGGAATCACATTAAGCAGGATCTACTGACCATTATTACCTAAAATCTACAGCAGGAAGGATTCGCCATGTCCAATGCCACAAGTAAAAACGAAGCGAACGTAAATTGTCAGGGTAGATTACAAAAGCGAGGTACTGCGACGTTTGGGTGTTGCTATAATGGATGGCGACTGGGATCTTATGGCAAAGTATTGGGCGCCTCGAGCTCTAGTCGCCATGACTTCAAAAAGTTATACTACTTGCTCACGTGCAAAGCTGTAGGCAAATCGAGCGCTTTTCAGGACTGGTAAGACAGAGAAGAAAAATCAATGGACCAGCTGAGAGCCGCTTTTGCCATAGATAAGGTCATTTCGCCCAAACAGGATGGAGATACAGCCATGAGAACTAAATTACTCACAGCTGGCCAGATTTGTCTTGCCACTGCCATGTCTTTATGGTGCCGTCATGCGAGCTTAAAGCAGGCAGTGCTTGCTTCGAGCTGCCACCGAGCATTACAGGTCACGCCACGGTGACCTGCGAGCCGCTCCAGCAATTTCCGGTCGCCACCTCCCAGACGTATGTCCTCGGACCTGCCGAACACGGAACTTTCACGCGGACCAAACGATGCCTGTACAATGTTCTTGGCAGTATTTTGGTGGCCCTTGAGCGCTAAAGTGGTCGTTGCTTTGTGTGGCGACCTCCAAAAAATGTACTGCGTCCACTGTTAATATTTCACGCTTGATAAGGTTGCGAAAGTGCTGTATGTGGCAGCAGTTCCTGGCATGCCAACACTGGTAACCTGTTAAAAGAATCCATGAATTTGAATGGAGCAACTACTGAGTACCCACCACTGGACGTCACTACCTAGTCCAGTCGTCAGGTGAGCACGTGGAGTATAAAACATACGTAAGTCACACAGACATATTGCTGTATTCGTAAGCCGCTTAGCAACGTGTAACCGTTGCAAGCCGTTGAGATAAAGGTTTCCTCACCTTACGTCTGACGCAACATGTGGATGCATAGCCTGTTCAGTACATCCCACAACCGAATCGTGACTTCTTTTGATCCACTTACGATAAAGTTGGCATGCCTGTTAAATTGAACATCGCACACAGAAGCAAAGAGACCGCAGAACGCTTTCGTTCTGTGGTCCCACAAACGCACACTTTGATCGTAGCCTCCGTTTATTAAGTGCGTCCCGCTATGGTGCAAGATAACTGTGTACACATCAACACCATGTTAACTCGTAAGCGTTGCCAGACGCTCGGCTGAGTGTCACCGAGTAATTGTGAGTCAGCTGCGATCGCAAAATTGTTCTTTTAAAGACGCAGCTGCAGCAGTTTCAACTGCAGACTACATAACATTGGGCCCGCGCTGGTCATTCAGCGATATCATTTGAGTCACTTTGAGCGTCTTGAGTAACGGCGCGCTCCGTTAGCGCAGCTCGGAAGTCCAGATTTTTGTTGTGCCATCACCCGAGCCTGAGTACAGACTCTCACCTGATGCAATCGCCGCAAGATACCAAATTTTGGATGAGTGACCAAGCATAGTTTGAGTCCATTGTCGACATACAGTGCCCGCAATTTTGTAAATTGCTTTTTTGCAGCTCTCTTGTTGTGCATCCAACAGTTCGATAAGCCAAAGCTTTATCGTAGCATCACTGGAGCCTGAAGCCAGCAGTTCATTATCAGTTACCACGAACGTTACAAACTTAATATTCTGCGAGTGCCCTTTGAATGATAGTGGCTCAACTCCATCTGATATGCCACAATTTGGTGGATTTTGCACAATTTGGGTATCCGATAGTGCTGGGTAGACCGATTTTTACATTCAGCAGGCTTCAGCGCGTGGTATAGTCAACGATGTTTAATGCTGATTGCATCGTTCACACCGGCTTCCTGAAGGAACCTTTTCCAAACTACCGGAAAGCGGTAAGCAACATCTTTAGCAGCCTGCTTGCACTTCTGCTCTTCTTCTTTTCCGGCCGCAACCCCACGGAAAAGCTCATTCTCAAACAGATACTCGATGAATTGCTGGCCAAGCGCTTTAAAGGCATTTGAAGTCTCGTCCGATATTCGTACGAAGCGTGCGATGGCTTGGAAGCGTTTCTGCATCGACTCTTTGGCTGTATCGAGTGCCTCCTTTGGACTCATCGGCTTGGATCTGCCCTTGAGAGGCTTCCTAGAATTGAGTGCGCGGCAAAACGTCTTGGCTTTCTCCCGAATCGCGCGCAAACACACATACCATACGCTTTTATGCTTTTGCATGCCTATCACGGTACCCGCTTCGTCTAAGAACAAGTAGACGTCACCTTCGTGCTGGTAAGCGCCCTTGCTGAGCTCAAGCGTCGCCTCAAAGGCATCGGCATTGAACGCGACGACTTCATAGGTCACGGTGTGAATTCCAAGCTTGCGCATAAACTCGTACAACAGCACGGGACTCACACAAATCTCGGTACCCTCTAGACAGTCAAAGGTCATCAATGATAGGCCATAGAAGACAGGGGTGTCTTCGCTCAGATAGTCAAGAAGTTGCACGTGTTGATGGCTAGGACACAGCACCTCGAACGACGCAGTGGCGCGTGTCTGCCACAGAAACTCACAGAGCACGTTACGATTATGAGAACTGAGGCCAATCACCATACGCAAAATAGCAGCGGCAACGATTGTGGGGGCAAAGAAAGTGTCGCTCACATCAGTTTTCTTCTGGTTTTCTGTTGCACATTCGATATCATTAATTGTCCGAGCCAGCACATGAGTGTTCTTTGACCCAAGCACGTAGACGAATTCTCCATCGCTTCTTTTTAGCACTGCCAAGTGTCCAGCTTCACCGTTCTCCTTACTGGTAGAAATCACCCATTTGCTTTGGGTTTGGGGCTTGATAAAAAACTTTGAAAGTTCAATCTCACCACTCTTTGTTGCTTGCTTGAGTTCTCCGTCATCCTCTTGACCTGTGAATTTCCTGTACCCACGTACGAGAGGGAAAAAGTACGTCGTGTCCTCTACCTGCCATTCTGCAATGCAGTTGCCGCGAGGTAGCCACTGTCTGGCGTATGCAGACTTCAAATACACTGCATCGTCCGGTTTTCCTGGTCTGCCCACTTTGATGTCGTGCATAAGCTTCAGTCCCGGTAGCAGTCCCGGCAGTACCTGACGATCTTGCACCCTTATATCCTTATCCTGTCGTGCTTTATCGACATGTTCTTTCCATTGCAAAGAATCTCTCTTAATCTCTTGCTCGAAGGTTGCAGATCCCTCGTGTTGCTTCTTCAGGAAAGTCTCAAGCTGGCGACGGCCTGTGCGCATGTGCATGAGTCGATTAGCGTCTTGTAAGGGCTCCAGTTCATCTAAAAAGTTGCGGACTTTGTCTGATAGACAAGCGGAAGGAGGTGCAAAGGCAGATAAAAGAACAGACTCGACAGTCATAGCAGAAAGACGAGTGGTTCAATTGGCGGAAGATTGCCAAGAGATAACTGGTCATTAAAAACCAAGTGATCAGGTACTTGATATAGGTCCTTTTCACTTCTAAGATGACTTTATTATAGGGCAAGGAGGCCCCATTTTTAACTCATATTGGGCAATTACTTACCGCTTGCTTGTATAACACGCTCTACCTAAAGCGACGCTACACTTAGTAATCTTAGACAGTAAGCATGCCCAAGTAGCAAGGCTACATCACAATTGTTACTGGCTCTCTGTGCCAGTTATGCATCATCCTCCTCCACCTACATTTCTCATTAGCTTCAGGATTATCGAATGAACGGGAAGTAATAAGGCGACCGATGAAGTCGACCGGTGTTTGCGTCAAAGTAGACATGACAATTACGTGGATACCAGCTCTCGTCGCAAGGTGGTCTTGAAAGGGTACGTGACGACATTTCTCGCTATAAATGCGCTTCTAGAAGAGTTTTAGTACACAAGCTTGGCTGTAATGGATTGCTACAGAGGTATGGCAGGGGTGAAAGAGGCATTGTGAGTGCGCAAGCTAGAAACTGGTTATAATAAACCTAATGGTATGACTTCAAAACAAACCTCATGTCTTCATGTATTTGTCCTTCCATCACTCATTAGTCACTTCGTTAAAGTTGTCCTGCCGAAGCGCAAAACGCGCGACATACTGTTATAATATCTGCTTAGCAGCCTATTCTTCCAGTGTGCGCAAACATGAGGTGACATTAACGACGGACATGATATTGACTATAATAGCCACACGAAAGGAGCCAGCGTTATATAGCCCGCGACGCGCTTAATCCTCATATACGATTGAGCAGCGATAAGGAGGAGTTATCGGCCACTCTTAGCGCACGAATTGGCAATGTCGATCTTACCAGTTTTTATAAACATGCGTAAGTGTCGCACTACGGATGTACTAACTTTTGTATGCGCCCACTTGGTTAAGTTTGCCAAAATCCTGTGAACTACGTTGTTTGTGAGCTCAAAATCTTAACAGCGGCAAATACAGCTCTAAAGGCAATTCCTTTTAAGGGCCGAGATTAACAAAACTGGAGTTTCATCCCCATATAAGCCACTAAATTGCAGCATCACTTATCTTAATGTCTTATGATTGAGCCGACTGACCTCGAGTATGTAATCTCTATCTATACCATCTCATTTTGATATTGTATTACGCCCAACATTCAAAGTTTTTAGGGTTCCGCCATGTTCCCCTTGAGTTGCCGTCTGTGTGTACTCTACGGGGCTTGAGCTCGATCGCCTGGTCTACCATTCCGTCAACGCTGGCCGGCCAAGCCCTCATTCCTACACCACCGAGTACGCTAAAATTTCCTTTGACATGTCAGCCACCACAATCAAATTTTGCTGACTCGTGGTGGTGATAGCGTTGGGGTTGGCATCTAGTATTATTTCCTTAACTATAAACGGATTCGGCGCCCTTGGATCAGCATTGTCGTCGGGCACGTCAAGGGAGAGAGCAGCATGGTAATCCCACATGCACACCTTAGCGTCGTTGGCGGCGGACACCAGCCGATCTTGAGAATGGAATGCAGCAAAGTGAACCTGAGAAACCATAGCTCCGTGGTGCTTCAATCGACGCTTAATGTGCTTCGATCCATAGTCGACAACCGCAATGCTGGCATCTCCCAGACCAACCGCGAAGGACTTGCCGTTCGGTGCGAATGCTAGCGAGTGCACCAGGGGTGGGTTGAACATTTGCTGGACGCTGGACTCTTTGTCGTCACCAACAGTATCGTCACGGTTACCCAATCCATAGACACCCGTGTTAAGATCAACTCTAAATCTTACTTTACCCCGAAAAAAATCCCAAAAGAGGAGGAGACCATCCATACCGCCCGACACCAGATCCCACGTTGCGTTCGGGCGGAACGGTGCAACGCTACAGATATTTGAATGCTGCATGCGCAGTGTCTTGAACAAGCAGTGACTTTCCAGGTCGTACACACAGATATCACCAGTATCATCTGGAACCGACAAAAACTTGCCTTGCTTGCCTGGATGTCGCGACAGCACGTTAATCTCGTCCTCGCTGTGTTGAAAGACCTCTCGATCTGCGCAGTTCACGACCAGGGTCGGCTGCCGCACATCAAATGTCAACACCTTGTTTCCCGCTGCAACGTAGATGTAAGCACTCTCCGCACCTGCTGTCGCCTTCCCGAATGCAAGCGAATTCACAGCACTCTCATCATTGTCTTCCGTACCTAATGCCTTCTTGACATTCAGGCATTTTGTCACTCGTGTGGTCCGCACGTCCCACAGACGACACGTACCATCATCACTACCGGAGGCTAGTACGTTTGGGTGCAAGTCTTCCTCGCACAGCAGCGCATTTACCGACTCGCGGTGGCCTTTGAACACCAGTAGTCGAGATGTCTTTGCCATAAGCTTTGTCATCCTGTAACATAAGTTTTACCAATAAAAATCATTTTTAGATAGAATATGCAGTTTATATTTTTGACTAGGTTTTACAATGTTTCCTCTTCATTACGGTATATGTCAGTAGATTGTTGTCAGATGCATGGCTGTTCATTGTGTGTAATATTACTGTAAATAAGATAAAGTTAGGAAAATTATATTTACACCCCCCCCCCTTATCCGGACATAGACTAATTTATATTAGACTAGACTATATGGGAATAGTCTATAGAATTGATGCCCCATAAAGTGCCTGGCCCTGTATACTACTTTCAAACTCCGCCCGCCCTACGCCACAACACTTTGCACCACAAGCCATTGCCAATACATATACTGAGGCAACGTTTTATTTCACAATTTCACTTGTACAAGCGATCAAACACGATTGCACTCATCATGAATTTTGCCGCAAGCATCCTCCGGTCAAACAACAAACGCCGCAGGGTCATTGTTGCCTTCGACATGAGTGGAAAGTATTGAAACTATCACGAACTCAAAGAAGATACACGCCAGAGGAATACGGGCTCTCGGACGACAGACTACCCCTCCAGAGGTTTCGGCGAGGGATCAATTCTGAATGGCGCAGAGTGTAGGCGGGCAATTCGTAAAAGAAGCTGCCACGTACTACGCGGGCACACACCTTTAAGCAGCGTGAGGAAGCGGTTAGACCGTCTTACCTCCGCGTGTGGTGATGGTAGTGCTGGTCGGCGCTTAAAGCGCAGTACCAACCCGTTGCCGGTCACTTAAAACGATCCGCACAACGAACTGCTAAGATAGGTGCTTCCCTTGCTACACGCAGAAGATTATTCAGCTTTTCGTGTGCAGTGGACGGTAATTAGTAAATTCAAGACTGCCCTATACTCAATTAATTTAAATTAAATATAAATCTATTTTCTGGTTGGTCAAATATAAAGATCGGATAAGCGTATTTTTAAAAGTGTGGTGATGTGGATTCTCAACAGCGTAGGAGAGCCGCAAACACACACAGCGCCGGACTGCCGACTTACGGAGGGGGTACCCCGATACCGTGTCGTATTGGCCTTGGGTCTCACCTTGTGTACCCGTCGGCTTGGCTGGTCTTGCTCCTCGGTTGACGCAGAAGACTTAAAGACTTGGTCTTTGTATAGGACTTGGACTTGGTGGTCCCCGAGTGGATATACTTCACTTGGGACCGGGTTTCTTGTGCTCGGTCGACTTAGTCGAGAGCGATGCACCTGGTACTGCGTACTTCTTTGGTGGCTGACTGTTCTTGGTCCTTGGACCCCTTTGTGTTCTTCCCTGTAGGGAAACCGCTTCCTGTAGCGGTTCGTAGAGTCTTGACACTTACTTGACACCTCAGGCCAACTATCCTGAGGTTCAACTTGCGTAGCTTGAGCCGTCTAACACCTGCTGACGTCGGGGGGCCAAAGTGTATCCCGCCCGGAAGAGGTGAGGCGACGGAGAAGCTTAGGAGGGGCGCTTAAAGCTGCCACGTGTAATGCAAATTCGAGTGTGATCATTTATCTCATTCTCTGTATTCGTTTCTGGTCTAACCCTAACCTTTCGCTCTGGATGGTACTACGTGTCAACTTGTGAGAAAACAACTGGCTCTCTTAGGACATGGGACTTGTACTGGCTCTGCACTTTAGGGAAGCCTTGTGCCTTATATAACCTTGGGTCACCTGGCCACATGGAGTCCACCGGTCACCGGGGTCACCTGGGCCACCTGGTCACCTGGGGTCAACAGGTCACCTTGAGTCTTCTGGTCCACCTTGGGTGCCGAGACTACCTTGGGGCCTGGTCAATTCGGAGTGCCAGGACCACCTTGGGGCCTGGTCCACCTTAAGGTTTGGTCCACCTTTGGAACGTGGACTGCCCTCGAGGCACTGGACCTTCGGGCTCTTGGACTTGTGCCGGATCTGCACTGTAGGGCAACCTGGCACTTCTCCAAGTGACCTTAGGACCCTGAATCTTCGGTACCCCCCCCCCTGTCCCTGGCGACTAAAAACCCTGTCCCCGGTAACTGGAAGCCCTGTCCCCGGTAACTGGTACCCCTGTCCCTGGTGACTTTGGGCTGAACCTTGGGACCTTGCGAGACGCAATCATCGTCATTCCCTCGAGGGAGTGACTGTTGGAAAGTGGAACTTCGTATCTATCTGGGTACTAGATGTACGCCGGTGAAGTCTGCTAGGTAGTTTTAGAATAGTCTATATTGAGGTAGTTCTAGACCGTTCGATGCATAGGAAAATTGTGTGGCAGCGGCAGAGGCCGCTGCACTGAGTAGGATCGCTTTGCGATCGGTAAGCCACTGAGGAGGCCCGCGGCGGCGGGCCGAAATGCGTCTGGCACGCGTCCGTAAGTAAAGTCATTTTGTCATGCGTTTTTTAGTTTCCAACAGTGACCTGGATTCTTGTGCCCTTTATTACGATGTCCTCAGGGGCCCCGATTTTCCTGGCACTTCTTCACAGAAGCGTATCCTTACGTGCGAGCTTAAAATATATTTAATCTCGCTGATGACTTTCGTCTGAAGCGTCACCATGATGCCCAGTCCCAACCGGCGTCATCCTCATTGCATGTGAATTTATCCATGGATATCACATTCACGAGAGTGGGTCACATTGATGTGCCGCACCCAAGTGGCAGGATTGAGGTACCACGTACTCTTTTAGACCTGCCCGTTAAGTATTCGATACTTAACGTACCGTATAACTTTTAGCCCGTTACACCATCCCCCTCTCTAAGACGATTTTTGCATTTTTGTAAAACATCGAAAAGAGAAGATGCCGCCGAAACGTGGTAAGGCTGATGGGTCGCCTGCAAAGGCGCCCATGCAGACCAACACGAAGCATACGCGTCGCGATAACTCGCAGCCGTCGCTAAGTGTCTCTGTGAAAACGCCGACATCTAATGTCAGCATGCCAGCAGAGAACACTGGTCCATCCCACTATGGTGCTGATGAAGATCTTTCATTCATTGTAGACTATATTGAGAGCACGCCATTGCCACCACCTCGAAGTAGTGATGATCACAGTGTGTTGATGAGACATTTGTCCCCATCATTTGAGGCACCCAGCCTTCAGGAAGCTTCCATGCTTCCTGACAGCGAGGGTCATCCTTCTTCGTCTGCGCCAACAAGCGCAGAGACCATAACTGAGCGCACTGCTTCGAAAGAAACAGCCGCGAATCAACAGCAGGTCGGCGATTCTAAGCTATCCGCCTTTGTCAACCCTACATCTGATGTCTTGACAATCCATAATGGAGAGTCAGACTCAGGCGAGGGTGAGAAAAAATCCCCTTCGACGTAACAGCCGGCCACACTAACTCGCCGTCGCGAGGGCGGATACGTGAGAGGTGGATTGCCAGCAATGCCGTTACCTTCCAAGTGGTCACGCTGGAGAAGTATAGTGCGACGCTTTTAAGGCGTGCCACTGTTGACGCTAATAAACTCTTTAGCGTCTTTCCATCATGGAAAAGACAGGGCAAAGCACTAGGTCGTGCTTTCCCTATCCCCGTCGTGTTGCGTTCTAACGAAAAACCGACGATTACGAAGCAGAGTTCCTGCACCGTGTCAAACCGCATGTAGATGAAGTGAAACAGCGGTCACAGCTAATTAGCTTCGCTATGACGTGTGCGAGGGAGATATTGGGTGGTAACGTACCCCCAGCTCCTTCTCGTCACGCTGCCCCATCAGGAAGTAGCAGAGCGAATGCAGCTGGTGCTTCTGCTCGTAAGCATCCACCAGCCCAGTCACGTCGACGCGTAACGCGTCAATCGGTTCCTAAGAGTCGAAACTCATTGGGTGTACCTTCCATTGGACAAGGATCTGAAGATTTTGCTTCACATGGCAGTGGGCTAACAACCTTCCCACAAGGAAGCGAGTGTTCCCACCCGCTTCCACCAACACAAGTGGCGCCCGATAGGAGCGGCGATTAAGCCAAACTATTCGCGGCTTCCTACCATGCTGTAGTTCAGTCGCAGGCGGAGATCGCTGCGCTGAAGGCTAATCTTTCGAGTCAAGTCTCGCGCCTGACTTCGGATCTACGAGCTGTTAATACGAGGGGTCGTCAGGGGTATGACCGCCTCAAAAATTCGTTTGGACCTATATGAGACTGGTGATGAGAGACCCGCGTCAAGCGCGAAGTCCTCCTTGATCACCGATTCCTCTGTCGTCTCTCTCGTATACGGGAAGAATCTCGACTTCCTCGTCGCCTGATCGGCAACGACGCTCGACTCACAGTCGACGTCATCATCGGTCTCCTTAGACTGATGGGGATATGTGATCTCTTGTGGATCCACATACCGTTTCAGACGACCCAAGTAGAATATTCATATATGGTGGAAGATGAGCCTATAAGTTAGGCCTCCAACCTCCACGACCATCGTAAATGGCCCAATGAATTTGGCATTAGCTTATAAGTATCACCAAAAAGTACAGAAAATGCATTTTTAGGTAGGGTAGCAGCACTTTGTCCCCCACACTAAAGTGTTCATTGTTTTTGCGACCATGCTGGTCTGCATATTGTTTTTGCTTGTCCTGTGCGTTTGCCATCGCGTCACGGACTTTACGTGTGATGGCTAATCGCTCATCCACGAAGCGCTGAGCTTCCCTCACGCTTTTAGCATCCAGCTCGCCAATGACACCCCCAAGAGGTCGGTCATGGGTCGACGCTGTTCATAACCTTATAGTGTCTACGCCACGTGACGTGGCGTCCCCTTTAGCGCGATGGACTGCGCAGACATTACTTAACCTATCTTCGGGTAAGCGTTCGCCTACTGCTATCTACGCGCCGATTGAGTCGTCGCGACTAATCTCAGACATGGCTGTGTTGGAATTTATACTATAACGTCAAGCCATCACCCGGTTTGTACGCGACGCACTACAATCTTCGGTAGACCAACAGAAAGAGAACGCTGACAAACATGGCAGAAAGAACATGAGCAAGTTGGAGAAAGGTGACCGTGTATTATTGTCTACTGAAGGTCTAAGG